ATCAAGGGACCAAAGAGCCACATGTGGCTCCTGAGCCGCAGTTTGCCGACCACTGCCTTAGCCCATAATACTTGCCCAATGACTTTGTTGGGTCACCTCTTCCTTTGATACCCATTAAAGAATACATATTCCATTCTCTTAGTTTGTTGCTTCCACCTGCGATTGCCTTGATAAAAGTAAAGAAACAATCTCTGTCCATGCACCAGAAGGTCACAAGTTCAATTCCCAGTCAGGGCACATATCTAAGTGTGAGTTTAATCTCCAGTCAGGAGGTGAATGGGAAACAATGGATCAAGGTAGCTGTCTCACATCACATTGATATTTCTGTCTCTCACCATTATTCCCACTCTAAAATCAATTCAGAAACAGAAACAATCTCATTAAAATTATTTATTAAAATAAGTTTTATAAAGTCGTTGAGTGAAGGAGTATATTGTCGATGGACTTCAAATTCAGGGAATTTGTGTCAGTTATCAGCTTAACAGGTATGTTCTGAAGGATTGAATTTCCCAGTAGGTTAACCCTAAACTAAGTGCTGGATTACTATACATGTGCGGCTTCTCTTTTCCTTAATGATGGGAGAATTCTAGATCTGTGTTCTAATGATACACCCATTTACAGACCCGAGTTTCATAAAGCAATAGCATTATTGTAGTAGAGATTTAGAGTTTAGCCTCTATTTCCAGCTCTGTCCCCCACTAGTGGTATGACTTTGGATAGAAACTTACCTCTGATTGATCTTATCCCCTTGGAATGAAAAGGAGTATAACCTGATAAGGTCTAAGGTGCTTCCACTTCCAAAAGCCATTATGAGGGACTGGAGATCACCAAGAGGAATCTCTCCCAGTAATATATGATGTGTAAAGGTAATTGTGATGTTATGTAGAATGAAATGAAATGAAGGCCATAAATACACAGTTAAAAGGGAAAGACAGTGGCATAGGTAAACACCTATACTTGCTGCCTCTCACAACCACAGCTAAAAGACAAAACAAATATCATCCAAAACCACAGGCAGGCTGGCTGAGTGGAAATTCTACAACTAGAAGAAAAGAAATAAGCACATTGAGACTGGTACGGAAGTGCAGAGGTGCAGAGGCATGCGCAAAATGGGCTGGCAACTGGGTGTGCTGTTGTTGTTTTCAATCGGGAGAGATAGAGGCTCCCAATTGCTCTGAACTCCAGTTCCGGGTGAGACTCTGGAGACCTAGACTCATACGGGGAGAAACTGGACTGTCTGACATTAGGCCAGAAAGTGAGGGTGGCTTTCTCTCAGAGATGCTTGCAGCAATCATTGTTTCTGTGTGGGGGCATGGGACACAGAAATGTGGAGATGCGGGAACCTTCCGGTGCAGGACTGAATGGCAACCATTGCTGTTTGCTCTGCCATGGTGATTTCCTGAGACCCCACCCCACCCAAGCCATGAGCAGTGGCTTTTGCATATGAATGGCCTGTCCTTTCGAAGCCTAACCTAACACACTGCAGCTGGGTCAGAGAGCTCCAAAGCTTCCAAAAGAAGGCCCAAGGCTTGGCAGCAGCAGACTGCCTTGCTTCACAGCTGGGCCTCATCTGGGCACTTCCCACACCCCAA